GGGGGGGGGGGGGGGTGAAATAGAATGATTTGGTTTTAGCAATTGAGTTACTAAATCGCTGGATACGACACCTTCCGGCACAGAAGTGAGCAAGACATCAGTTGAGGCCGAAAGCTCTTTTCAATTTTATCTGCATTTTGAGGTTAAAGTTTTGCTCATAGATCAATTGAGTTGATAAGGTGGATTAGCCCTTTGCAGAACTTGGTCACATGCTTTAATGCCATTTATCAACGGCATTCTGGATGGCAAGCAATCCAATCGTTCATTCAGACTGCAAAAAAGCTTTGAGTGCGATTGGGTGACGCCTTCTTAGGTTAATTCAAACGTCGCTTAAGTTTTCTAGCCCAGTCATTTCGCTTAATTTTCAACAAAATAATTAACCTAGGAATACTTCGCACGATCGCACTGAAAGATGAACACTTGGATGACTTGCCATCCAGCGAGCGGTTGCTAAGTGGTATCCAAGCACGTGACCAAGTTCCGCAAAGGGCCTATTGGCCACCTCATGGGGATTGAGAAGCTGGGAAACTGCCCACGTACCCCTCCCCTAAGCCAACATTAACACTTACTTCTCACTTAGGGCAAAATGTTGGCTTAAGGGAGGGGTAGGTGGGCATTTTCCCAGAAACGTATAATAATCCGTAGTTTCTTGGTGATGTAGACGGGTGCAATCACCAAATGACGTGATACAAAAGACTAAGAAACATTCCAAATCTTTGTGTTTCTTTTTTCCGACGCGACTATCTCAGTTGCCTCACTACTTGTAAAGACCTGACATGTTAATGATGTTAACAAGATGCTTGTTCATTGTTATAGCGAGTCACCTGAGTCTCTTGAGCGTCTCCCCCCGGAAACACGGTAGACCAGTGTCCAACATCAGAGCCACAAGGGACACAATTGCCTCCTGGTATGGCCTGTGGGAAGGAGCAAATCACAAAAAAATATATTCACAAGCGTTTTTCTAGCATGCTTAGATTCTGGTATGCTTCTTGATCGGCTAAAAAATCTCGCGCCTTTTTTCTCACCAAAATCGATGGTCACTTGCCCCGGGCGTGTATTTTCCCGCCTCTAGGGCAAGCTACACGTGTCGAGTGCTGATTGGTTTAAATGTAATATCTGTTTTAGTTGTGATTGGCTAGAGGCGAGACATAATGGTTTTGGTAACTGGACACTCGGTTAAAACTCCTGCATGTTAAGACAAGATTAATCCCTTCAGTTATATATAAACAAGGAAATATAGTTAACTAATTAATCGACTAACCGCACTGTAAGATAAGCTTTCACACATAGATCCATGAACCATCTGAAAACAGAATAATCGACGTCAGTATCATGAACCCTGTCGATTGACATGGGTCAGAATACTAACAAAAATCAAAGATGAAAAGCGTTCGTTTTTAAGCGGAGCAACGAGTTTCCATCACAAGTGCTAAGGTTTTAAGAGAATTTCAGCAGGACACTATGCAAACGAGTTTGGAACAATCCTGTTAACAAAGCAGCTGGGATAGTTTGATGAAAAAAAAAAAATCAAGATGAAGAGGTCTTTTTCCCACTGGAATTAGAGTTAGATGAAATCCTTATCTAATCTAAAGGACCTCGTGCACGGTTCTGCATCTTGAAGAAACTTGCAGTTTCGTCAACAGCA